TCCATGTCTGGGGGGGACAGCAGGCTGTGTGCTTTGATGGGGCAGAAGGCAGTGTCCCGCTGGTCCCAGAGGAGATGCCGCTTCCCAGCTGCGCTCTGATGCATGGCGGCAGAGGAGAGCGTGCGGCAGGGACATACCCAAAGGCATGCAGGAGGGACTCTTGGCTTGCTCCAAAAGCCTCCAGCCAGGGCTGGAGGAGGAGGGCATCCTGTGATCTGAGACCTTCCGCAGCACTTGTAACCAGCCTCTCTCTTCAGCTGCTTCTCTTTCTTGGCTGCTCCTGGCTGCTGATTGATTGCTAATTGCTGGCCATGTTTCAGTTGCTTAACCCTGCTTAGGAGTCACAGGGAGCTGTCAGCCTTTGCCATACCCTTGGGCAGGGTCTGTCAGGGAGGTGACCGCATCCCCGCACCCTGGGGGAAGGATGCAGCTCTGTGGTGTGCTGGTGGTGCGCAGGGCCAAGTGTCGGTGCCCCTTGGACCAGGACCTGCCACCCTTGCCTGCAGAGGGCTTGGGACTGCTGGAGAGCATCCACAAGGTCCTGGAGGCTGTGACCAAAGTCTCTAGTGGGGTCTTGGGAGAACCCCAACAAAGGCCCAGGGTTCAGAGCAGGCTGTGATGAGGAGCAGGGTCCTCTTGCTTTGCCCCTGCCCAGAGAACGCTCATGTACACATCTGCTTTCGGAGAAATAATACAGAACTTGACGTGTAGGGTGGGGAGCTGGGGTTTTTCCTGTGGACCACACATGAAGGCATGAAGCCCCTGCACTCAGCTGACTGCTTCACTTTAAAGGAGCAAGCTCACATCACACTGGGAGCTTGGACAGCAGGTCCCCTCGTCTCTCGCCCCCATTAACCCCTGGATCTCACACCCCACATCACAAGCCCCTGAAGCAGAGGGCTTGGCTGTTGCGGAGCCGACTGCTGAAGAGTGGCATGTCACAGCATCCCTGTCTATGAGACTCTGCTCTGATCTCCAGATCTCTTAGGGGTTGTATGTTTTCCACTTCTGGTATGCATTTGTGTTAATGTGATGGTCTTTTGTCACCCTGAGATCAAACCCCTTGTTTGTGGGAAGGACGGGTCAGAGAAGCTAGCTGTTGTGGGCTGGAGGTACAAAGGCAAGAGCTGGCAGAGGGGCCAGAGGGAGGTTTTGGCACCAGAGGGTGCAAATGATGGGAATCCTGGATGGATTTCTCCCTGTGAGAGTGAGGAAAACCTGGGAAACTTCCTAAAGCACCTGGATGCCGCATCCCTGTGGCTTTGCCGGGGAGAATCACTGCTCAGCCTGAGAGCAGGATACCCCTGCTCACCGGGAGAGGAGCTGGGTGATGGCACGTGGGAATGTCCCCGCTTATAGTGCTCTTTTAGATCAGCCTGGCTCCTTGCATCCCTCCCACCACCACCTTTTAGTCTGAGCCTGCTTCAGCCTGCTGCCTGCTTCTCCATCTGCTCCCTTCACCTCCTGCTGCCTGTGTCCTCCTCTGCCTTGCTCCTGCTTGTCCAACACAGAGCCACCCTCCCTTGCTGGCTGCCTCTTGGTGACCGCACTTGGTAAAGCCTTGCAGCCATGAGAGATGTCTAAATGCCGCAGGCCCGGAAAAGGAGGTGGTCCTGGAGGTGTTGCAGGAGGGCCCCTTGCCCTGTGGCTCCCGGAGGGATGCGTCCTCTGTCTGAGGGCCGGAGCGTGCGGTGGGGCTGGTGGAGGCACACAGGGAAGAGGAGCACGGGGTGGCATTGAACAGATGCACTGAAACAAGAACAGGTTTCCCCCTCTAACAAAATCTGGAGCAAGTCAGCTGCCGGTGAGGAGGAGCCTGGAAGTTGGGCTCTGGGTCTCCCAGACTGTGGATTCACACACAGCACAAATCAGCTCGCGAGCAAGCTTGCACAGCAGATGTCTGCGCCTGCTTGGCCGCGTTTGCAATCCACCACGTTCAAAACTGCCACCTTGGCCGGGCTGCTCTGGTGTCACCGTGCGGGAAGGATGCCTGCGGCTGGAAAGGGAGCTTTGCTGTTCATGGCTGCTGAGTGAATTATTAAAATACAGTCCTTGGAGAGGAGATAACTCGCCTTAGAAAATGTCTGTGCCAACAGAGATAAATTGGATCTTTATGATGAGGAAACTAGACTAAATAGAAAAGAACGAGGAAAGAGACAAGTGTTGTTTTTGGGCCATGCTGAGGACCGGAGGCATTTGAAGGATTCGCACAGTGGGTGTTCTCCTCGGGGGCTCCTGCCCCAACAGAAATGCTTTTGCAGGCTGGAGGCCGGCTCAGAGGGGCGCAGGGTGGATATGCCCAGCAGCGGCTGGGAGAGCATCCTGGCGACGCTGGCTCCTGCCTGCCTTGACCGTGGTTGCCACTGGAAGTGCCTCCAGCTTCTAGCAGGCTTCTGCGAAGGCTCTGCCCTGCTGCGGTTGGTGTGGGCAGCAGGGCGTCCTCCCGACGCTCCGTGAGGGCTGTGGTGCCCTTCCCAGGCATCGCTGGGTGCTTCCCTGAGGATGCTCCAGGTGAAACGGCCTCTGGAAGGCAGAAGGCATGCTGTTCCATTGCTTTTGCCCCAGGAGATGCGGCGCTGCCGAGGATTCATGCATCTGTGCCCGGGAGCGTCCTGGGGCTGGGAGCAGCAGAGCTGCGGACCTTTGAGGAGGGGACGTGCACGCTGGCAGGTCCAGCGTCCGGGCTCCAGGAGCTGGGAGAGGCATGTGCATCATTTTTCCCCTCACAAATACAAACGCGCCCCCCTGAAAAAGTGCACAGGTTTAATTAATGGAATGTAGATTTTTCTGGAGTGTGGTGTGTCTCTAATTTCACTGTGCTGACTGGGCAGCGGCTCTTGGCCAAAACCAAGGCCCTGGTGAAGCCTTTGCTGTGGGGTGCCCGAAGTTGCTCTGCCCGTCCCTGGGTCTGAGCCAGTCGCTCCCTGCAGCAGTTCTGGTCTCCTCCAGGAGTGTCCAGTGCCCTCTGCCCGCCAGGAGACTGCGCTGCTGCCTTGCCGTCTGCAAAATAACTCTTCGCCTTGTTGCAGGACGATGGCAGGGGCCTGAGGTGGTCAGTGAGGCTTGGGTGGCCCCTGGGAGGTGCAGGTCTGAGGCATCTGCTTCTCTCTCCCTGCGAGCAGAGCCATGAGCATGGGAGGGTTGTTGGCCAAGCAGCCCTGGGGGTCCCCGGGGGTGTACGCCTGCTGTGCCCTGCACTGTGTGGGGAAGGCTGGATTCAAGTGCTGCATGCTTCTCCTGCCTCACTCGTCCCTGAGGAGCAATGCTCGCATCCCTGGGGCCACGCGCTCGCCTCCACTACCCCAGTGGGAGAGCAAAAGCCGTCTGCGGCGCAGCTCTGGCAGCATGGCCGGGGTGGCCTCAGGGGCTGCTTTGGCTGGCACGGTGTGGCAGAGAGAGGATGAGGGGACGGTGCCAGCCCGCGCTGTCAGGTGGCAGCAGCTCTGCGCTGGCAGCGGTCACTGGCACGGCCAGGGCGGATGCTTCCCTGAGTGCCCGGCACCTGTCCCCGGGCTCACAGGGACTGTCCAAACTGGTGTGCCAGGAACACCCAAAAGCTTTTTGCTGCAGCCAGTTTCCCAGAGCATCCTCGATCTGCTCCCCTTCATGCCTCCGAGCCAGCAGGATGCTGCCCAGGGCCCCCGGGGGGCCGAGACCCCTTTGTGAGAGGTGCTTTCTCGTAGCAGCACCCCTCACCGTGCTATTGGAGGGCCATTGCGGTGTGAGCACAGTGGCCTTAGGCATCCCTTTGTCTTCCTTGGGCATCCCCCAAGATCTGACCAGGAGATTGCTCTGGGCTGTGCTGGGGCTGGAGCTGCTGGATTTGGGAGCAGTCATGGTGTGCATCATAGAATGGTTTGGGTTGGAAGGAACCTTTGAAAATCATCGAGTTCCAACCCCCCTGCCCTGGGCAGGGCCACCTCCCCCCAGCCCAGGTTGCCCCAAGCCCCATCCAACCTGGCCTTGAACACCTCCAGGGATGGGACAGCCACAGCTTCTCTGGGCAACCCGGGACAATGCCTCAGCACCCCATAGTGAAAAATTTATTCCTGATACCTCATCTAAATCTGTCCTTTTCCAGTTTGAAGTCATTACCCCTCATCTTATCGCTACGTGCCCTTCTAAAAAGTCCCTCTCCAGCTTTCCTGTAGGTGCGCTTCAGATGCTGGAAGGCCACTATAAGGTGTCCCCAGATGCTTCTCTTCTCCAGACTCTTCCTTCTCAGGGTCTCGCTGTCCCCAGCCGTGGGATGGCAGCTTTGCCCCTCATGCCCCTCTGTGGGAGGGGGTCTCCAGCGAGGCTGGTGGCGAAGCTGCAGAGGGACAGGGACCCCACGGGCTGTGCCTTGTTCCTCGTGGGCTGTGGCAGGAGTGGGTGAAGCTCCCCGTGGTGGGACTTGCTCTTCCTGGGGTCCTGCTGCCCCCTCCTCCACCAGCCCCATGGTGGCAGCTCCCCCCGCAGCTCTGCCCCTGTTCTGTCAAGGGCCAGCAGGTTACAGCCATGGCGGTTTTTAATTAAATCAAGCCGCACTGGCGCAGCGGCCCAGCCGTGCCCATCTGTTCCTCCAAGCTGTCGGGTGCGCGGCACGGAGTCGAGCGAGTATCTAGGTCGTGCCGGAGGGCGCAGTGCGGCGGCCAGAGGGGCTGCATCCCCCACCCCGCACGAGCCGCGGGCGCACGCCGGCAGGCAGGAACACCGGAGGCGGCTCTGCGGCTCTTGTGGAAGCGCAGCCTCCGGGGGGTCAGGGACCCGTCTCGGTGATCCCGTATGTACAGCTGTGAGGAAGAAGGGAGGTCGTCCACAAGGCTAAGCCGGAGCTGCCATGGGCCCATGCGGTGCCCTGTGTGGCACGGAGCGTGGGGGTGTGGGTGGCATGGCTCGGCCCCTGCCCTGGGGGAAGCACCTTGCTAATACCTTAATGAGGCCAGTGGTGTGGCTGGGGGGCCGAGTTGGAGTGTTTTGAGTTTGGACAACAGTGGCTTGCAACAGCCTAATCGTCTAATTACCATAGTAGCAGGACAAAGGCATCATTAACCAAATTAAAACAAGCCGACAGACAGATCTCCCTAGTCAGGAGGAGTGGATGGAGAGCTGTGGCCCCAATCCCTGGCCAAGCTGCAGACCCCAGCGAGTGACGTGGCAGAGATGTGTCCCCCCAGCTGGCTGGTCCGTCGGGAAGGTTTGATGTGAGTGTCTGCAGGGAAGGAGATCTGAACCGACAAAGGCATCATTAACCAAATTAAAACAAGCCGACAGACAGATCTCCCTAGTCAGGAGGAGTGGATGGAGAGCTGTGGCCCCAATCCCTGGCCAAGCTGCAGACCCCAGCGAGTGACGTGGCAGAGATGTGTCCCCCCAGCTGGCTGGTCCGTCGGGAAGGTTTGATGTGAGTGTCTGCAGGGAAGGAGATCTGAACCAGAGGCTCTTCAGCTGACCGGGCAGGAGCGTAGCAATGGCCGAGGGATGGCCATCAAACCTAGGCAGATGGAGAGGAGCAAAACTTCAAGGGCAAGCACAAAACACCAGCATTAGGGATGGGGAGTTTCCTAGGGCTGGAGAGAGAGTCTTTACCCTGGGAATATTTTTCAATCCGAATTTGATGCATTTCTGGTAATCGTGGCCACTGGGAGTGGGCAGGGAGGGATTCGGACATTTTCCTGGCATTTAATGTGAGCCAAGTGGTCCTTGGGAAGCCTGGCAGCTTCATCCTCCTGTCCTCCTCCAAAACCTCTTCACTCCTTCCTGCCCCCTGTGACAGCTTTGGGGCATTTGAAATGTGAGCAAAAGCAAATATTTCCCGTTGCCGTTCTGAGTGGAAAATGGGGAAATTCAGCTGAAGCAGCTTCCATCCCTCCCTTCCGATAACTGGAGCTTCTCCCAGGCAGTGAATATCACGGAGGAAAACAAGCCCGTGGAATCAGGAGTGTGTTGCACGCCGTGCGAGTACATGGGCAGAATCGCCCAAGGCTCGGGGGTCCTGAGGCCGAGTTCCTGCCTAAATGTGAGTAACTTGGGCCAAGATAGAAGGGGACACTTTGCGGAGCCCTGTGTCCAGCACATGAGCAAAGTGCAGATAGCAGCAGCGTCTGTGCTCCTCCCTCTTGTCCGTGTGGCCGCCTGTGGACCCATCTGGGCAAGGAGGGCGTGCAGCCCCCAGGCTGGGAGAGCCAGTGTCCCCCTTCTCCCTGTGCAGCTCAGCTCACTGGCACGTCGGCTTTCCCAAAATAGCTGTCCTTGGGGCAGGCAGGGGGTTATCTGATCCTGTTGCTGCGCTTCTCTGCCCTTGGGCAGCTCGGCAGTATGGAGCCCTCCAAGGAGGCTGAAGGAAGCGAAGGACGATGTCTTAGCTGAGGAAATGCAGTCTGGGAAGGGACGTGCACAGCCCAGGAGCAGCATGAGCAAGAGAAAAATCCCCTTGAGGAATGACATGGAGAGTCGGCCATTGACTGTACCCCATGGGCCACACTCGGTTGACCGCGGATGCTTTTGCTGGAGGCAGGGGTGGAGGTGGCCGGTGGAGCATCCCGCTGGGTGGGGTGCTTGGTACAGAGGCACCATGGGTGCGACCATGGCCTGCTGGCACTGCCGGGGCTGCGGAGCAGAGCTTGCTGCCTCCCCAGGTGCCTCCAGCTTGTTCTGGTGCCTGTGCCAGGCTCTCCTGCCGCCTCCTGGCGTACCCCTGCTCCTCCTGGATCTGCTCATGCCTGGCAGGCACCAGCTGCCCGTATCTTCCAGCAGCCCCAGGGGCCGTGCTCAGAGCCAGGCCTGACGCCGATGTCTCTCTGCAGGTTGGCATGGAGCTACCACCCGGGGACAGCAGCGTGCCGGGAGCTGCTGTCCCAGTGGGTGCTGCGGGTTGGGGCAGCAGGACGGATCCTGCCCGCTGATCTTTGCTTCTGCGGCTGCAGTGGGGCTGTTCCCTGCTGGGGAATGGGATCACAGTGGGAGACCCGGGCTGACACATGCCCATCAGCAGGTCTCTGTTGTCCCCAGGGTGCGCAGGACAGCTCCACTACAAGCGTGCTGCCTGTGCTGTAGAAATCCCTTGTCACTGGGGAGGGACATGCACCTACAAGCACGTGTGTGTGCACACATCCCTGCTCAAGGGGCTGTGCAGATGCTCACAGATATGCACACACACATGCACATGGCATACCCTCGCACTGACCGTCTCCCTGGGGACAGCCAGACCTCAGGCAGCACCTTCTCCTCTTCCCCGTGCCCCTCCATGCTGCCACCGAGAGCAGCTGAGCCAGAGTGACCCAGTCCCCCTACCGCAGTCTGTGACGCCTGGCTGTCCAGGGCCTGAGGTCCACTGGAAAAAATGTTTGCCCCAAGCAAGCTGTGTTCTGCCTAGCACTGGAGCTCTACTTATCTCAGGGGGTTTGGGGACACTGCTGTGTTCGTCGCTCCCTTCCTTTGGTCGCTCAGTGATGCTTGCGCATACCTGGGGAGAGGTGATGCCCAGGGCCCGACTAAACTTTCCTGTCTGTGTCCAGAGAGCCAGCCCACGACATCAGACGAGACCGTGGTGGCTGGCGGTACGGTGGTGCTCAAGTGCCAGGTGGAGGATCCCGATGACTCCTCGCTGCAGTGGTCCAACCCTGCCCAGCAGACCCTCTACTTCGGGGAGAAGCGAGGTACGTGCACAAGAACTGGGGATGGGAGAGGACTGCCTTGGGGAGAGGAGCCAGCTCCAGGACTGGAGCAATGGTGGGGCAGAGGGAAAGTGGTCCAGGGCCAGTGGTGCCCCAGAGGGTGATGTTCCCACCTGCAGTGATGCCAGCCACTGGGCAAAATATGAGCTAGCGTGGGGGTGTGGTGGAACTGAGCCTGTCACTTACCCTGTTGTCCCTTTTCCCTCAGCCCTGCGAGATAACAGGATCCAGCTGGAGAGGTCCACGCCCAACGAGCTGACCATCAGCATCAGTGATGTAGTGCTGTCGGATGAGGGGGAATACACCTGCTCCATCTTCACTATGCCTGTGCGGACTGCAAAGGCCCTGGTCACCGTGCTGGGTAAGCCACTGGTGGCAGCGCCCTGACCTGCTCCCAGTCTTCTGCCTGCTACTGCCCTGCCTGCAGGATGACGTCATTCATCTGTGCTACTCCCATATCCCTGCCCGTTAACTCATCCTTGCTGTTTATTGACGCGTCTCTGCATGTGTGTCTGTCTCTGGGTGGCAGCACACACACAGCTAATAGGCTGTTGTATTTCTTGCCTCCTCCTCTACCAGGAATCCCCCAGAAACCACAGATCTTCGGCCACGAGCAGCCCATTGATGAGGAGAAGATAGCCCGGCTGACCTGCCGATCCTCTGGCAGCAAGCCTGCAGCCCAGCTCCGGTGGAAGAAGGGCAACAAGGATCTGAAGGGTGGGTGCCCAAGCAGTGTGGCTCTGCTCTGAGGGACTGGGGTGGCTTGGGAACACCATGGAGGCAGGTGAGGCACAAGCAGTTGCAGACATGCCTGCTGCTGGACCACAATGGCATCCTATGCTACTGCCAACAAAGGGATGGGGACAGGGTGTCTGTCCCCTGCTCAATGTGCATGTCAGCCTCATGCCTCTGCTGGGGTACTGCGTCCGTCAGCTCTAACGGTCCCCTGTCCCCACAGATGAGGGCACTGAGGTGGTGGAGGACCCCAATGGAAAGACCTTCACTGTGAGCAGTCGGGTGGAGTTCCGCGTCACCAAGGAGGACAATGAAGCTGAAGTGACCTGCACTGTGGACCATGAGTCCCTGCAGAACTCTGAGAGGTCGACCACACAGAAGCTGCAGGTCCACTGTACGTGGCATGGGGGGATGATGGGACAGGGCTGTGCAGGGGTGGGGGAGATGGAGAAGGCCTCAGCATCACCATAGTTGAGCAGACACCACACATGGCCCTACATTTACATGTACATACAGCCGTCACACATAAAGGCTCATCAAGCTGCACGCGCAGTGGTCCTGTCACATGTAGGGGCACTCACTGCACAGTGACACTTCTGCACGTGCATGCCCTTGGTTTCCCGTCCTGCCTTTGTCCCCTGTGTCCTGCCTGTCCCCATCTTCCTGAGACTTTGTGCCATCCCCTGCTACCGGCCTGCGCTGTCCCGTGCCCTGCCTGTCCCTATTCCCCTTGGCTTGTATGTCCCCTAGTGATGACACGGTGAGGGATATGGGAGCTGCACTCACGCTGCACGCCTGCACACGCAGAGCTGGGGCTGAGGCAGGGTGTAGGGGGAGGGTTTTGGGGTGCCGGCAGACCCCTAAACAGTGTGGGGCAGGGACATACGGTCACCCAGCTGTGCCTCTCCTCTTTTTTTTTTAGACAAGCCGACAGCGAAGATCGAGCCGCATCCCCAGTACCCACGGGAAGGCGAGAAGCTCCAGCTGCAGTGCGACGGGCAGGGCAACCCCATGTAAGGGCCCCCCTTGCCTTTCTCCTGCTCAGGTCCTGGCCATCTCATCCTCCCACTGCCAGGCTCCCAAACCCACCATTTAGCCCTCCCCAGAGCTCAGGTAGGGCACTGGCGCTGCATCAACACTGGTTAAGGCCGGGCACCCACAGAGAACAGGCAAAGCCCCTGTCTTCTCCCTGGGGCAGCAGAACTGTCCCGGCTCATCTCTAAAGGGAGTATTTCCTTCCTGCTTAAGTACTCCCACACCTCGATCGCCCCCTCCACTGCCCGGCCAAGGACTCCTCTCCCTAAGCCCACCCCGGGTGCTGGGGAGGGCGGTGGTGCCTCACCATCATCCCGCTCCGCAGCCCCCAGGAGTTCCTGTGGGAGAAGGAGGGCAGCGACGCACCCCTGCAGCTGAGCTCCGACAGCGTCCTCATCTTCCCCTTCCTCAACAAGAGCGACAGCGGCACCTACGTCTGCACGGCCACCAGCTCCATGGGCAGCGTCGTGGCCAAGTACAACCTCGATGTCAGTGGTAAGCAGGGGCTACAGGGCACCCAGCATCACCCAGCTTCTCCCAGCAGCTGCTGGTTGGCACAGCCACCTCCGTCCTGGCTGGGTCTCCCCGTGAAGGGGAGGGTCTGGGGAGGGCTGTGGTGGGAGGGAGCTTTGTGGCGCAGGGCGGACGCGTGCATGCAGCTGGGTCCTGGCACGCTTGCTGGCAGGGCACTACATCCCCAGCTCCTCCAGCCCCCCCATCCTTCCTTGCGCTGTGCAGGGCTGCTGCCTGGGGCTGAGAAGGGCAGAGAGCGGTTTGGGGGCATCGGGGCAGGGACACGGCACGGCCCGGGTTGAGCTTGGTCCCTGTTGCCTCCAGTGGGGAGTGGGAGAGGGTGCGATGGGGGAACTGCAGGGGCTGCGTGCAGGATTGTGCTGGAGTCTCTGGGACAGGAGGAGAGGCCGGTGCTCCTGAGCCTGTCGCAGGCCGGGAGCCTCTGCGTGTCGCCGCCACAAGCCAAAGAGGATTTCCAGACGACGCCAGCCCTTCCAAATGACGAGGTGCCCTGGCAGCCCTGTCCTAGGCTTCTGGAGACGGGCCCTGTGCCTTTGCCCTGAGCCGCTGGAGCTGCAGGCTTGCGTTGCGTCCCGTGTCCCCAGAGCATATCACCACTCAACACCCATCCTCATCTGGGCAGGGGCAGCACCAGCTGCCCCCCCAGGCGGTGCCATCCCCTCGCTGCCTCCCCCTGCCCCGGCTGTGCTCTGCCACCGTGTTTGCTGTCGTTGTGCCCTGCTACGTCCAAGCGCCGTGTGTCGCATGTGGAGCAGAGTTGTGTGCTGCACGGGGCTGCGAGTGCTTCTCCAGCCCATCCCTGGCTGGTGGCGGTGCTGCCGCGGTTCCTGTGCTCAGCCCCTTGCCCGGCAGCTTTCCTGTGTTGGTAGGAGCCTGTTTCCCTGCGGTTTTGGCCATGGATTTGGGGTTATTGTCCATCTCTTGCTATCTCTCTCTTCTCTACCAGCCTTGGGCTTTCCATCTTCCAGCACTCCTACCTGCTCCAGCTCTTCCCTTTCCCATCCCCTTTCCCTCCCCTCCTGTTTTGGGCACTCTTCGGTATCCTTCCCCTCCAACATGGCTGCGGGTAGAGGGAGCGCATGGCAGCAATGGCACTTGGGCCACCCTGTCCCCCTAAGTCCCTCTCCTCTGCCTGCCCAGGAGGAGCCCCTAAATGCCCAACCCCACGCAGTCGTTCCTTCATCTCTCCTTGTGTCCCCCATGGGTGCAGGGTCTGCCCAGGGAGGTGGTTCATGAGCCCAGCTGTGAGCGCACAGCAGCACCCAGAGCCCTCCGCACCCATCCAGGAGCAGAGCAGCCCCCAGGGTGCTCAGCACCCATCCGCAGGCTCGCACCGGCATCTGGGGTGCTCAGCGCCATCCACGAGCACACGGCACCCAAAATACCAGTGTCCCTCACCAACTTGGTGTCATAGCCCCCAGCAGAGGAGGTCCACATCTAGGTTTAGTTCTCCTTGTCAAATCCCCCCCTCTTTTTCCCCAGAGCTGCTTGGGTCTCGGGCACCGTCGCTGGAGCAGCCGCCTTGCCCGGTGCAGCCCTCAAGCCTGCCTGCCGCAGCGGCCACCTTGCTCGGCAGCGAGGGAGAGCGGGGATGGACCGGTCCCTGAGGGTGTGCAGAGGAAAGTGTAGGTGGCACCTCACGGTGGGTGACAACTTCCAGCCACCGCAGTCCCAGGGCTCCCAGGCAGGAGGGTCCTGGGGGGGACCCACATGGAGGGGAGGGGTGGCTGGCAGGGTAGGAGGTGGGAGAAGATGTTCGCAGTAGTGTGTCCCAGAGGACGGTGGCAGGAGAAGAGGAGTAGGACCCGTAGCCAAGAAAGGGGTCGTGGAAGGAGCCACTGAAAATGGGTTCCATCAGGCTGGGGTGAGCCGGGGTCCCTTCCGATGGGCTCTGTCACACCTCATTGGCACCTCCCAGAGTTGATTTGTGTCCCTGTGTTTTTGTTGTCCTCCCCAGATCTTTCCCAGCTCCCCACCCCACACGTTCACTCCACTCCAGCCCCTCCGCCAGGCCCTTCCCAGCCCATCTCTCATGCTTCCATGGCCACCGCTTCATCCTTCACTCCAGCTCCCATCCAAGGTACCGTAAGCTCCTTTTCTCTCTCTTTATGGACCCACTGCTCCCCAGCCCGGCGGGAGAAGCTCCACAGGAGGATGGTGGCCCAGCCCTGGGCCAGGGACACCCTTGCCACGTCCCAGGTGCCCAGCCAGGCTCCAGTCCCTGTGCAGCTGCTTGTTGACGTGTGTGGACTCTGCAGCCACCATCTCAGCACTTTGGGGTGGTGGCACGCAATAGACAGAGCCGAGGCCCCAGAAGCCTGGGCCGCGTAATGGTCCTTTCGGCTCTTCCTGGCAGGAGGTGGCAGGGGATGCAGCCTGTGCCTTGTGTCCATGTGAGATGTCGTCCCTCTGTCCTGTCGCCTCCCTTGTTGTCTTTCCCACCCCGTCTTGTCTGAACGCCTCCTCTGGATGTTTCTGTGGCTGTGCTCCCCCGAAGCTGATGGGGCAGAAAGAGAGTGGAGCAGAAGGAGGATTTGTCCCTGTGTACCAGGGCTGACACAGGATCCCAGCGCAGACTCCGCTACAAGATGTGACTGACTTGGGACTGGCCTTGGGGTCCCACCTTCCTCGGGGTGCCGTCACCTCCTGGGATGCAGTGTGTGGCCGTGCCAGCCTGCACACTAGCATGGCACAGGGGAAGAGTGAGCCGAGCCTGGCTCCGCATGTGTTCAGTTTCCCCTTGTGGGGCAAAAATCCCACCATGAAGGACATGGCGATGGGATCATCGCTGTGCCTGAAGGCAGAGGTACACCGGGCTGCACAGGGCACGTTGTCGGTGCTGCTCCCTGGGGCACGTCGCAGGCAGTGGGGCACAGGGATGGGTTTCCCCATCAGCAGCTCTTCTCGGCTGCCTTCATGCCCAGGAAGGCTGCCCAGCACAGCCATCAGGGCTCCTCTCAGCTCGCTCGCCCAGGGGCCGGCATTGATGGCTATTGCTTTCCCCTCCTTGCTTCCCCCGCTGCCTTCCCTTTTCTTGCTTCCGCCTCAACACCTCTCATCTGCAGCAGGATCAAGCTGATGGCACTGAGCCGAGCAGGATTGCACCCTCCACGGTGCCCACCTGCAGCCCTGAGTGGTCCGTGGGACAAGTGGCAGCCCCTGCGGCGCAGCAGGGTCTGCAGTGTCTCCTCTTTCTTTTCTCTCCCTTTGCTGCCTGGGCAGATGCCAGCCCGGTGCCCTCGACCTCCAGCACGTACCATGCAGTGATCGGCGGAGTGGTTGCTGTCATTGTCTTCCTCCTGCTCAGTCTTCTCATCGTGTTGGGACACTACCTGATCAGACACAAAGGTACGGGATGGGTGAGCTGCACGGGGAGGGTCACGGAGCCAAGACCCCCGTGCGGTGTTGGAGCCGGCAGCACAGGGCGTGCTGCCCCTTGGTGGGTCTCTGGGAGCAGGGCTGCGTCCCCGAAGTGAGCAGGCAGCGTGGGGCAGGGGTGAAGGGAGGCAGCCCCCTGTCCTGCAGCCCTGCCCCATGTCTGGAGAAACCCAGCGCAGCCAACAGAGCCCTCTGGGGTTTGGGGGCTGCTGCCCATGTCCGTGCTGGCACCGACCGTGGCATGGAGATGTCCCAGTGAGTCCTTGGAGCTGGGCAGCACTGGGCAGAGGCAGCCTACCCCAATTCTCCATCTCTCCTTCATGGCTTGGTACCCACTGCCCCAGGACTGCCCATGCCACTGTCCCTGTCTCTGCCTCACCCCACCTCCCCCTCCTCCCTGCCCTCCTTGCCATTCCTTGAGCCCTCCACCTTCCTCTTCTTCCTTCCCCTCCACCACTTCCATCTCCCCATCCCTGGACTTTTCATCCGCCCGGCAGGTATGTGCATAAGACATGGGGAGACGGTCACATCCAGACATCGGCAAAACCCCGCAGAGGTGATGTGTGAGTAAGAGCCCCCCATCCCTGCCCTCCGAGCCCAGCAGAGCCTCTGCCCCACGCTGTGCCGGCTCCAGGTGCAACCAGGAGCTGGAGCCTCCTCGCAGATGGCAGTTCTGCAGAGAAACCCTCCAGTTTTCTGAGGGGGACAGGGATGCAGGGAGGGGCAGATGGTGGGGAGGAGGAGACGTGCCTGGAATCCAGGCGAGGGCTGCTGCCTGTTGGGGGGCGGGAGGGGCAGTTTCGCCCTCTGGCTGGAGACCACCGCTTGAGCCTTGAGCAGCCTGGGAGAGGCTCCGTCCCCAGGCAGGGCTCATCCCAGGGAAACCAGTGACTTTTCCATTTCAGGCCAAACCCAAAGGACTTTCCTCTCACCTCCACTTTCCAGCCAGCCCATGGGCTCTGCCACCGGGGCCCCTCCGGGCAGCCCAGCCTCCCCCTGCTTGCATGGGAGCGGGGTGCTGGCAGGACCACCCCGTGACACCGACCCCCTCTCCCCACCCAGGTACCTACCTGACCCATGAGGCCAAGGGGTCAGATGATGCCCCAGATGCCGACACGGCCATCATCAATGCAGAGGGCGGCCAAGCCAGTGGCGACGACAAGAAGGAGTATTTCATCTAGGGGCGTCGAAGAGCGTGAGAAATGGAGCCAGCAGACCCCGATGGAAACGGAAACCAGACCACAAACCCCACTCAACCCAACAGATTTTCTCTCGCGCCCGGCATGGGCAGATGGACGGACAGAGGGATGGCAGGACAGAGAGCAGAGAGCGACCGGCCTGAGACGTGATGCTTCTTCTTGAACTTGTACAAAACATTATTACTACGAACAGCGAAAGCCCCGGCCCCGTTTGCTTGCTTGCACCTCCATCCCTGCGACCGGCGCTCGCGCAAAACACAGACCAACCAGTGAGTGAGCGACTTTCCTTCTTCCTTTGGACCTTTGCTTTGGTTTTGTGGCTGCTCATTGCTTTGGGCCCTTGGTTGGGATGTTGGGCTGGGGTCGATGTAGCTCTTTCCTTTGTTTCTCTCCATTTTGGTTTCTTTGACATCCAAGGATAAAATCAGCTCCAGGCTCTGGCGCAAGCTCAGGGCAGCTGGGAGGCCCCTCTGTCACGAACGCTCGCCCCATGCCTCCCACCGAGAGCCGAGACCCACGTTCCTGTTGCTCCCCCCAGCCTCGGCTGCTGCGCGATGGCCCCAGCCCCAGCTGGGACCGGGACCATGGCTGGGGGGGCAGGAGCGGGGCACCGACAGGCAGCGGCTCTGCCCCTGAGGTCTTGGTGTGTGGCTGGGGTTGAGCAGGGGGGGACCCCAGCCCCAGCCCTGATTTTATCCTTGGTGGTTCTTGTCGAACAGTGTCCATTTGGGAGAAGGGCTGTCCTCGTGCAGTAGATGTGTGACGGGGGGGTGAGCTTCCAGGGTGGGAACCACTGAGGCCCCCAGAGAGACTGGGAGCTGCCGGGCACTGTGGCTCCCTGCTCCCACCCCAGCGGGAGGGGGGAGGGCAGAGGTTTGGGGGTGAATCCAGAGAAAAAGCCCCAACTTTACAAATTCTCAGATTGGAAACATCAATTTAAACCATCTATTGAGATGTTCAGTGCAGGAGGCCACCTGCGCCAGGAGCACCGGGCAGAGCCGGGAGAGCCAGTGGGCCTGCGGCCATCGCGACTCCCCTCTTGGCTGGGTTGGCTCTGGGGCGCCCAGAGCCTCTGGAAAAGGTAGTTTAGACCCTGAGGGTGGCTTCAACCAGAGCTCACGCAGCCGGTGGCACCACAGGAGCTGCACCAAGCTGGAGATGACCTGCTCCCGGGAGAGGTACAGAATGGGGCTCCACCGCAGTCTGCGTCTTGGAGCTGTCTGTCCCCCTTCCCTCCACGGCCCCTTCCCAGGGCACCCGTGAGCATGGAAAAGGCTGTTTCTCTCTGGGCTCCGAGGGCTGCAGCCAGCAGCAGCCAAAATGCCTGGGTTTAGTGTCTCGGTAGTTCGGGGGCCTCCAAGGAGGCTTGGAGGCCTTGCCCTGCCTCCTGCCTATGACACTATCTTTTCCAAGACAAAAGTGAGAAGCTCTCCCAACCTCTCCAGCATGTTCCTATGGTCCACTTGGCCCACCCCAACCACACACCCACAGGATGGGGCTGCATGAGCTGCACACTCCGGCATCTGCAGGACGCCCCACGCTCCCTGGGGAGCCAGGCCCCATCCCTCACCCTTGGGATGATGTTTTCCAGCTTCCCAGGATCCCAGCATCTCTTGGTCTGGACGCAAGGGGGTTGCAGGAGCTGCCCTTCGGCTGGGCACCCCTTCAATTTTGGGTTGTGTGGAGGAGGAGAGCCCTTCGGGAAGGAGCAAAAGCTCTCAGCGGTGTGGGTAACCACATCTTGGAGGTAGAGGAAGAACTTGTGTCCTCTGCCATGGGGTACCAGCTGCCTGTGGGGCAGGTAGTGTCACTCGCATGCAGACCCTGCGAGCATGTGGCATGAGGAGGATGCCCACAGGGGAAGCCATCACGGAGCGAGCGGGGCTGGAAGGGGGCTGGGGCCAAGCAGGTGAGGAAGAAGAGGCACAGCTCGGTGGCAGGCACAGGGTGTGAATGAGCGATGCATTTGTGGCATGTGTACAGATAGGACTAGGTTCACTGTGGCTAAATCGTATGTCAGGAGCGCACAGGCCAGCAGGGTGTTAGCACCTCGAGGCATGAAGCCTTCATCGTACATGGTGAAGAAAACTTGCGTTTTTCTCGATGTTCCTCCCTTCCCATCTCTTTGGAGGAGGACCTTGGCCTGGAGTCCCAACGGTAGCTCTGTGCTCACTTTGAGGGATGCAGCCGTTGCTGCCGGAGATAACACTGCAGATGTCAATGCTGTTAACTACTTCACTGCACACTGAGCATGTATGAATGTGTGACCTGATGCTTCGCTGAAGATCTTTAACATCCACTATTGAATAGACATAATTCCTTCAAATAAAAATGCAAGGATGTGTTTTCAAGTACAGTTTAATCTCATTGTAAGTCTACGTGCTGTAGATGGTTGCAAAGAAAGCCCCAACCTGGGGGTCTGGGAGCGAAGGGGGTTAACTGGTCCCTAGGGAAAGGGGGGTGGGAGCTGAGGTCGGACAGGAACATTTGTGCCCCTTCGAGGCAGCACAGGCACAGCTGTGGCCGGTTTCTGCCCAGCGCCGCTGCTCCAGAGCTCCTTTAAGGGCTGGCGCTGGTGGTCATTGCTTTGCCCTGGTAAGAGCAGTCATGATTTGGCCTTTTTGAGATGCCACATGGTATTGGACATGGCAGGCTGTAGCACAGGGAGGACCAGGCATGGGCAGGGCATCGGGGCAGGACCTGCTGCCTGCGGCAGGTGTGAGCCAAGGATGGGCCAGGTCTCGCCGCCGGTGGGCCTATCGTCCTGCTGCAGCCATGGCAAGAGACTGAGCCACAGCCCCAGGCGTTGCAGGTCCTGGGAGTGGTGGGAACAAGAACGTGAGGCTGCATCTGCAAGCAAGAGCCAAAAGGCTTTAGTAGGTGCAAGAGAGCAGTAGGCACACCACCACGGGCACGAGGGTGATGAAGACCCTGTGTCACTTGTGAGGGGGTGACAGATACACCAGGTCGCGTGTGAAGAGGGAGGTGCCATGGGATGAGCACAAGGGCTCATGGGGACACCATCATGAGGCTGTGATGGGGCACATCACAGTGTGGGAGGATGCAGTGATAGCGCACCCACTGTGCTGCTGATGGAAGGTGTGATGGGACACACCGTGTTGTGAGCATGATGGAGAAACCGTTTTGTGATTTTGAGGCCCTGATAATTGTGTCATGGGCATGAGGTGTGGTGGGAAACACCATTTGGGGAGACCAGGGGCATGGTGCGCTATCACTGTGTATTGAGTCTTTTGGGATGATGAATCTACTCTGTCACCAGCGTGCAGAGGAACAGGTACACAGCCACGAGTGGGGCCACAATGGGTGTCAACCATGAGCTGCATCACACCGTGAGTGTGTTAGAGTGATGTGAGGCTGGGGGTGATGGGGTACACCTTGTGTTGGGTCTGGGGCACGTGCTGTTGTACGTGTGCACAGCGCTGTGGTACACTGGGTCAGGGCTGTCAAGGAGGGTTGGGTACACCATGTCATAAGTACAAGAGGTGATGTGGGTCATGTGAAGGGGTGAGAAGCTACACCTTGATGCATGGGGGTGACACCACACACCATCAGCGGTGCAAGGAGGTGGTGGGGCACATGGTGCCACTGATGTGGCTGATGGTGGATGCGCCGCACTGCAGGACGGAAGAAGTGATGGGGCAGGCGGTGCTGCTAGGGCGGTGACTGTCCTGTCCCTCCCTGCCGGTGCCCAGCAAAGCTGAGTGTTGTCACCACGTAGCCGGGAGAGCCCGGGGCACCAGCCACCTCCTGGGCCTCGGTGGCCCCTTCGGGAGCGGGGAGTCCTTGTTGGCCACACAGGCGTGGGACCTCCAGCCCTGTATCCACCCTGTGCCACCACGGTCGCTCGTGCTGGGCCCAAGGTATCCAAACCGGGACAGAGTCAGGGACGACGCTGGGGGAGCGAGGAGGATTCGGGGCCTTGTGGCCCTCGTTTGCTCCCAGGCCTGTTTGCTCCTGCTCACCGGCCCCGACCAGGGTCCAGCCGTTTCCCGGCTGGCACTGAACTCTCAATAGACACGAAAGCCATATTTGTAGGGAGCTCTGGAGACGCCGTGGGGCGGCAGCGGGGCAGGGCAGAGGACGGTCTGTGTTGTTGTGCTGTGTTCTTGTATGTACATAAAAGGGAGACAACGAACGTTGATGTGACTTTATAACCTTTCTAATATCCTGTGCTAATCTCGGAAAATAATCCTATAAATATATCTGGATTACACACGTTACCTGCCTGTACGTCTCTGCTTGTGCCTGCGCGCGCCGGACGCTGCTAGGCTCTGGGAGGTGTCGTGGCTGTGACCCCCCTGGGTGAGGGGACCTGAGGGCACCAAGACCGGGGGAGGGGGCAGCACTCGGCCTCGGGGAGGGGGACGCGGCTCACCCTGGTGCACAGCATGGGAGGGACGTGGCTGAGCCCATCGCACAGCCCGCAGAGGCATAGCTCAGCCCCCCCTTCCAGCACCCCAAACTCCATCAGCTGCCTGTCCCTAGAGCCCCTGTGCAGACCCCCAGCCCTTTCACCCCCAAATCCCCCCACCTGGTCCACCACACCCCCACTGCAGGCACCCAGCCCCCGACCCTCAGCTCCTCCCAAGTTACCAGGCCCCCCCCAAACGACAGTAACCCTCATTCCTAACCCCCTGAGCCCCCCCTGAGCCCCACCGCCCTCTGGGGATGCTCCCACCACGTATAAGGGCCATCAAGTGCCACTGGTCCCCGCTGGTCCCCCGCCAAGCTGTGCTCCGTGCCCGCTGCAGCCCAGGGAGCCCGTGACTGAGCGCTGGTGCCACAGGGTGACCCCGCAGGATCCGGTGGCCCAGCGGGGCGTCCCAGGGAAGAGATGAGGATTTCCTTGTGATATGGGAGCTGGAAATCCCCGCGTGCCTGAGCTGCACTGCTGCGGCGTCCCCTGGGCAGCCACCCGCATCCCGCACCCGCAGCACTTGTCCTACACCCCAGAGCGGGGCTCGCACACAGCCGGCAACCCTGGGACAGAACACCGCACGCGCCTGAGTCCCAGCCAGCAATAGGACCATCTACACAGCCGGAACGCCTGTAAATACAATGCCTAATTAATTTAAGGTGTTCTGCCAAGGAGTGATTGTTTCCTGCTCGAGAAATTGCAGGCTTGTGCTGGCAGCTCACCGGCTTTACCGGCAGCAGTGGCCCGCCTGTTTCCTTCGGGCCCTGGCAAAGGGGACTGCCAGGCCAGGAGGGCCGCTATTAACGAGGCAGCTCTTATCTCGTTACCGCAGTCCTTTGCCTCCCTTTCAAGCAGGAGGAGTTGAGCCTGAGTGAGAGCAAGCAGAGTGGGCACCTCGGTGCAAGGCGGCTCGTGGAGAGCGTGCCTCGCTGTGCGTGGTGCTCATCGGAGAACGCAGGCACCGCTGGGCACAGCAGCCTGCAGAGGGCATGCACAGCTGAGCATCGGCTGCCACGCACGGCCCCCATTGGAGACCCCAAACACAGAGGAGTGGGTGCCATCCTGGGACACACATCATGGGCAACTGCATCCCGGTGGTGAGTGCCTCCCCCTCCCCTGCAGCTTCTCCCCAGGGGTTTCCAGTCCTGCTGGGGCCACGTGGGTGCACGGTGGGGAGCAGGGCCACGGCTCGCAGCGGGCACTGCTGGCAAACGCTCGCAGATGGCTGGGTGGGGTTTGCAGCCCTTCTTTGGGGCTGTAAGAAAATTTGGGCTTTCATGCACAGAGGGGGCAGCCTGGAACAATTCCGCGCCCCTGAGGTATCAGCTGCAGGCGGCCTCCCCTCTCCCTGCGGCGTGTCCCTCCCTGATAAATGGCACTGCTCAACCTGCACCAGGGCTGTCCGTGAATCCCCCCGGCACCAGCAGGGCAGCAGCTCCACAGCAGGGAGCAGCGGCCCATCAGAGGGGATGTCTAAGCTGATGCCGTGGGATGTGGGCACCTGTGGTCAGTTGGGCACGTCCCTGTCTGATGCCCACTGGTCTCCTCTGCAGAGCCCCAGCGTCCTGGAGAGCGAGAACTCCCTGGACCTGCTGGACATCCTGGGCAACCTCTCCTATGACGATAGCAACATGACCTTCCTGGACTACGATGCTGCCCCCTGCCACAACCAGTACTGTCGCATCTTCCAGCACGTGGCCCCCGCCTTCCTGGCCGTCACCTGCGCTGCAGCCAGCCTGGGCACTGGGGCGCTGCTGGGGGCACTGGCCAAGCGGCCACATGCCTGGGGCTGGCCCCAGAGCCGAGCGCTGGTGGCCCAGCTGGCAGTGGGGATGGGTCTCTTCCCTGCCCTGCTGCCACCGGTTGCAGTGGGCATCGGGCAGGGCGGGCGGCTGGGCACAGGGCTGTGCAGGGGCACCCACCTGCTGTGGCACTGGAGCCTCTTTGCCCAGGGGCTGCTGGTGGGCAGTGGCTCCTGCAGCACCGTCTGGTGCCGCTGGGCCCCCCGGAGCCGGCGGCTGGCCGTGGCCATTTGGGCCGGGGCACTTCTGCTGGCAACACCAGCGGCTCTCACCAGCGGCACGGTGGCGGCCCCGGAGATGCCCTGCATCCGCCGGAGCGTGGACGTCCGCTCGCCAGCGTACCTGCTGCACCTCGTCCTCTGCCTCTGCCTCTTCTTGCTCCTGCCGGCGGTGCTGCTGGTGGCCACACTGGCTGTGCCACGGCTGAGGGCGGGCTGGGAGCCAGGCATGGGCACAAGCTGGCTCTTCTTTGGGCTCTGGGTGCCTTACGGCATGGGGCTGGCCGTGGATTTCCTCCTGCAAGCCCGGCTGCTGCAGCCCACCTGTGGCACCTTTGAGCACTTTGACTACGTGCTGGGGCTGAGCGAGGGGCAGGGGGTGCTGCACTGCTGCCTGGGAAGAGCTCCGGCTGCAGCTGAGGGCCCTGTGCTGGCCACTGGCACCCCGACCCCCAGCACCATCCCTGCTCCCCACAGTGTCCACCACCAGCCCCGCAGCTCCTGCCCCACAGGCAGTGCTACCCCAGGACCCAACGGAGGGCGACGTGGCCACCAGGCTTGGTGCCTCTCCTCCCCCGTCCCCTTCCTTGGGGTCTCAGCCCCACTGTTTGGGGCCAGACACCCTGATTTGCTCAGTGGAGACAGTCCCGGGGTGCTTCAAGCATCTCCCCAAGACCCCAGTGGGTGTCAGCCCCAGGCTCCTGCACGCCTATGGGGACCCCCAAGGCTTGGCCCCAGCCCCCCCAGCTCCACGGGGAGATTTCAGCAGGCAGACAGTGCAGCGGTCATGTGAAGCAACAGAGGATTTTTCACTCCCTCCCAACAAGCCGAGTGTCGCATCCGAGATGAGCTGGTGGGAATTATACACAATATATACGTCTGTCAGAGCCGCTCGCCAAGCCCAGTTAATGGCAGCGTCTGGGGGGTGAGGGGGGTCACAGGGGGTGACATCCACCGCTTCCGGCCAGGCGCCCGCAGGCCAAGGAACGGGAAGTGGGAGGCGTGTGCTCCTTGTGCCTCCAAATTACCAGGAAAAGTTCATAATGAAGCTCTACAGTCTATTACCGGGAAGCGAGGTAATTTATATCCAGCGCCGGAGTCATCTGAGCCGCGCTCCTCCATTCCCATGAGGGATGGCCGCGTGCGGTCACAAGGCACACGGGATGTGAAATGGGTGTGGATGGAGAGATGGAGGGGGGGCGATGGAGGGGCATGAGGCTGTGCCCGGGACCTGCCCACCCGTGGGGTCCAGGGTCCAGCATGGTGGCACACGAGGAGCTGCCTTGGCTGAGGCAAACTCTGCGGGTCCCGGGGGCCCATCCCTGGTAAACTGAGGGACTGACTCAGTGGAGAACGAGCCCACAGCGTCCCCAAAAAGGGAGCGGCCACCGTGGCCAAGAGCATCCTGCTGTTGCCCTGGCACCTGTCCCCCTCATCCCCAGCCCGGACGCCTGCCCAGCAGCCAGCCCACCACTATCATTACAGCGCCCGGAGCAGACGAAACCCTCCTCCTGCCCAACCAGGCTGCACCGGGGCCGGGGGCACAGCGCTCTGCGCCAGCCCCGTCCGCTCGCAGGAGGACGCACAGATGCCCTCAGAGGATGCCCAGACCACAGACACCCTCGAGGACACCAGACCCTCGGCCGCTCGGCTCTGCTGCAGTTTCTTCTGCCACCTGGTGCCCACAGGGCTCTGGCTTTGGGCTCTGTCCCTTCGGCCAGGACCGGATGAGCAGAGCCCGGGGACGTGCCCAAGAGCCGTGGGTCGGGGCGAGGGGGCCAGGGACAGCTTCCCCTGTGCCTCTTGGATGAGCCGAGGTCAAACCAGGTCTCTCCCACAGAGGGTTTGCCTGGGGGGGTGAGAGGAGAGGATCGAGGCAAAGCCACGCGGCCGAGGTGCCCCCACCGCCCGGGTGGGCACGCGCCCGGGGCACAGCTCCAAGGGGAGCCCCGTGCAGGCGGGTGACACCGGGTCTTGCGGCATGGCGTGAAATTGCTCCTCCCGGGCATGGCAGGCTGCTGGGGATGGGACTGGGGGGGACGTGGGTTCCCTCCCACCCTCCAGCCCATAAACCCGGCGGGCGGCAGCCACACGCCAAAGCAGCTCCTCTCCCGGCACCGACTGCAGTGCCTGGAACCATGGGCCAGCTACAGCTCTGGCTTGCTCTCCTGGCTGGGCTCTCGGGGATCGTGGCCCAGGAAGGTAGGGGGGACACTGGGGGACAGGAGCCGGCACAGGACAGGGCAGGGCAGGTCTGGGGGGGACACATGGCAGCAGCACTCAGAGCCCTCTGCTTCGAGCCATAGCCCAGTCATCAGGGCTGGGGGATGCCAGAGCAAGGCTGGGGTCAGCAGAGGGGGTATCGGGGACGTGGAGTCACCAGGGGCAGAGGGAGGAAGAGGCTCAGAGGCAGATGGAGGGGGCTGCAGGAGACCCCAACATCCCGCCGCATCCCCTCTCTTGTCCCCCAGACCTGTACCGAAAAGTGTTTGTCTTCCGGAATGACCCCAGCGATGCCTACGTGGTGCTGCGGGCAAAGCTCGAGCACCCG